CCCCTTTTTGTCCTGTTTTTTGTTTGTTTTTTGAGACAGGGTTTCCCTGTAGCCCCCGCTGCCCTGGAACTCACTATGTAGACCAGGCTGGCCTTGAACTCAGAAGGGCTGCCTCTCCTCCTGAGTACTGGGACTAAAGGCATGCAACACCATGCCCAGCCTACAACCAGTGTTGTTAACCTCTGAGCCATCTCTCCAGCCCACAGTCAGTGCTCTTAACTGCTGAGCCAACTCTCCAGTCCCCCAAGCTCAAATTTTTGAGGCCTCACTTCAAATGCAACATAGGAACTGCACTTCTCTTGAACCATCTTGAGACCTAGTAACATCAGGTTGAGGTGGAAGGGTGCAAAACCCTAGGGCAGAACTGACTTTGTAGTTACTTGTGTGAGTTGTGAGTCCACTAGAGGGTAGCAGGGCTATTTTGAACAAGGCAATCTGTCCGAGTACACATAGGAAATTCTAAGTGTATACTAAAGGAGATCCATGGCAAAGCAAGTGGACCAAGAAAATTATCACCCTTGTTCTGTTAGCAGTTTATTTATTAGATAACTCATATAACAGAGGGCTTATGGCATAAGATTAAGTAGGTTGATAGTTTGGACTCAGAGTATGGCATGGAGAAGACAGCAGTTGGAGTTAGAATTAGGCTTGTGGTAGCAAGGTGGCTTAATGGAACCTGAAGACTCGAGATATAACCAGGAACTTCCCTCCCTACAAGGAGGTTCATGAACCAGCCCTGCACCCAGCCTGTGGCAGATGGTTGCTTCAGAGGCCAGAGACTCGGGACAAAGGCTATTCCTTATTACACATCCCTTCACCAGACGACCCTCATCTGTCACACAGCTCAACCTGGGGAGGGGTTGGGGGGGTATAAATCCTGCTGTCTGCCAAGACTGAGGGAAGGAAGCACTGGGGCTGAGGAGCCAAGAGGGGTGACATAATGCTAATTGCCAAAGGTGAAGGAACAGGAGGCCAAGGTGAGAGCAGAAGAGAGCTGACATGAGTGTAGAAAGAAGGGCGTGGCTTGGAGGACTGGGGCAAGGTCTTCACTTTCAACTTCAATGGCTTGTACTTTAATATAGGGCACAGAGGAGCCATGGAAACTTTCAAAAGAAGGATAGGGCCAAGTGTTTGCCAGGTATGTACCTCTAGCTTTCTCTAGAGGTCAAGTGAGAGGTGAATGTACAGCACAGTGGGGTGCAGATACAGAAGGAATGCTGGTGATGCCTGCAGGAAACTGGACCAGAGACTCCATGGACATGTCACAGTGACACTCAAAAAGTAAGCCACGTGTCTTACTCAACCCAGTACTTCCCTTGGGGGCACCACAGATTCAGGCTACTCCCTCAGTACAGCAAACACTGTAGTGAGAGTTTCAGTTGCTCTTTCAAGGCGGGGTCCACCACTGGAGGCAAATCCTTGGCCTTCAGGACAACTGCATGGGCCTCCCGGAAGAGGTCCTCTCCCACTGCAGCTTCCACACGCTGTCGCCATGCAGCCAGTTTGGGTCGGCTCTCAAAGATTTTGCAACCAGCACTGACAGACTATGGGGAGAGGAGCCAGATGGAAGGGCTAGATTCCACCAAGTACAAGGCAGGGTGGCCTACTTGAGGATTCCCCAATGCATTGTCCCTCCCTCACCAAGTATGAGGTGCCTCTCAATGCCCCTGTAGAAAGCACTGATGAAGACTGACTTTATAGTTGGTGCTGAGAAATGACTGTCAAATGCTCAGCCATAAATGGGATTTTTACGTCATCCCTTCCAAGACTCAAGGAATATTAGGAAAGGAGTGAAAAGAACATAAAAGGTGGAAGAAGGGGGTGGGGTGGGCGGGAGTCATGTGGAGCACCGACTTCCGGGCATGGAATGGCTGTTGTACTCTTGAACACACAGCTGCTGTGACTACCTGCAGAAGATCTGCATGTTACTGGGTCTGATAGCATCCTGTCATGGAAGGAGGAGAGACTCATGGGGCCTCAGCCCTCCCTGAGGATTTATATACAGTTAATTGGTTAATGGGGGAGGGAGAGACATTTTCTTTAGTGATGTAGCCACAGGTGATGTGTCCATGCTCTTGTAAACAGATTCTTACCTGTGCTCCTGTAAGCAACACTATTGAAACTCATTGGGTCGCACACATAAATACACAAAGACGTGAAAGTGGAATGAGGGTAGAGGAAGAGGCAGGGTATCAGTTGGGAGCAGGAGGGGGACAGGAGATGGTAAAGGGAGGAATATGATTAAAATAGTTATGTACATGTATGAAAATGTCAGCCAGGTGTGGTGGCACATGCCTCTAGTCCCAGCACTCGGGAAGCAGAGGCAGGCAATCTCTTCAAGGCCAGCCTGGTCTACATAGTGAGTTCCAGGCCACCTTGGGGCTACAGGGAGACTCTGTCTCAAAAAAAAAAATGTCATAATGAAACCCATTATTATGTATAACTGATATATGCTAATAAAAACATTTTAAAAATAGATGAGAAGACTGAGGCTTAGAGGAAGAAGTGACTCATCCAGGATCCCACAGCCAGAAAGGTCAGCATGAGCGAGGATATCGGCTTCTTCCCAGGACTCCCCAACATTCAGAAGGCCACTCCTCTCCCTCACACTTACATGCATCATCTCTGTGATGGCCAACAAGTCAGCCACTGAGATATGGGGTCCTGTAAGAAAAGCCTGGTCCCTCAGGAACTTGTCTTCCAGCATCTGAAGGCATCTGTCCAGTTCACCCAAAGTGGCTGCCAACATCTCAGGGGCCAAAGTCAACCACCCTGTTCATCTCTGAGTTCAACAATATTGACATTGTTGGAACTTGGTCTTCAGAGACAGGTAACAGGACATTCGACTGATGGGGAGCAGAGAACAAACAGAGGGGAACTTTGCATCAGCCGTACACGTCCCATCCCCACACATACATTACCAGTGAGTACCCAGTAATTAATTTTTAAAGGTTAATTTTTCAGAGCTGGGAAATTAACTTAGTAGGTAAAGTGCTTGCTACACAAGAATAAGGACCTGAGTTCGAATCACCAGTACTCTCGTAAAAAAACAGGTGCAAAAGCATACACCTGTGATCTGTGCCCTGGGGAAGTGGAGACAAGAGAATCCCTAGAGGTTGCTGGGCAGCTACTCTTGCTAAATCAGTGATCTCCCGGTTCAGTGAGGGACCCTATCTCAAAAATAAGGTAGAGCATGATAAAGACATCTGACATTGACCTCTGACCTCCACGTGCTAGTTAGCAGGTGGCTTCGTGGATTGTAAAGGGAAATGGTGTCTGCCTATTTGTGATGAAACTGCTTGTTCTCCCCAGGCGGAGGCTGAGGAAGATTGTCATTCTGATTCTGTCAGAGCAGATGAGGAGAGTGAGAGTCCTGCTGAAATAGACCTGCAGGCATGTGTCTCCAGTTACCCACTGAACTTTGGTTCCCTTCTTCCCATACATGCACAGAGGTTGGAAATTATTGAGATTTGTAAGTTCCTATTTGCATTGAATTTAGCTGGATTTTCATATTCTTTATAGCATACTTAAATTGTGTCATGGATTTCTCGTTAGAAGTATCAATAATTGCTGCTTTGGAATTCAATGTGTAGGCTTACATTCTTAATACCCTTTTTTTTTTTGATCTTTTTGAGACAGGGACTCCCTGTAGCCTCAGCTGGCCTGGAACTCACTATGTCAAATAGGCTGGCCTCGAATTCACAGAGATCCACCTGCCTTTGCCTCCCGAGTGCTGGGACTAAAGGCATATACCACCATGCCTGGCTAGGAACTTTTTACTTTTAACAGAAAGTGCCATTCCTGGTACATCCTCGGCGGGGTGGGGGGGTGTCCCTGCCCATTTGCCTTCATAACTCACCTTCTGCCACATGGCCCTGGTGCAACAACTTCTCAGGGTTGTGTGCTGCCAGGACAGGTACTCATCCACACGGGCTCGAGCCTGTAGGTCCTCAGGGTACCAGTGGTCTGGGGCCTTGTACTTGCGACTCAAATATAGCAGGATGGCCACACTGGAGGAATGTGGACGGGAAGAGAACATGCCCTGGTGATTCTTCAGGCCCCTTGGTCTGGGGCTATGGGGTGTTGCACCTGTATTTCCATATGGCCTTCTCACCCAGCCCAGAGATCCTTTCAAACGCAGGGGGATAACAGCTTTCCTGTGCTTCAACCTTTACCCTGTTGCATAGTCTCTTCTCTCCTACCCTTTTGCTCCCCCCAGCTCCTGAACTTCAGCCCCCAGAGGTCCTGGCCCCAACTCTTCAGCCTTACATGGTCCAACCTCTTAGCCTTCACCCTTCCCTCCAGCTAGAACATACTTTGCATATACCTGGCTCCTCGGTCCTGTAAGTTTCTACTTAGTTGCCACCTCCTCAGTGGGAATTCCGTTTACTTCTCACTTAAAATCACCCCCATCCCTCACCTGTCTATTTTCTCCACAGCAGTCTTTACCTGTCATATTAGTGTCACTCCTCCCTCCAGAATATGAACTCCATGGGGGCCCAGATTATGTTCTGCTCAATCTCCAAGACCAGGCATTGACCTGGTGCTGATGGATGCTCAGCAGAGGGCAACTAAGCTGGATGGATCCCTGACTCCAAGGGCAGGCAGCACTTTCTCCCAGGATGACCTCTGCCTAGCATCTGTGGTAGAAGTGGTACCTGCAGGGCCTGGTGCAGCCATTGCTCTATGTTTAGTCTCACCCTTCCTCTGAGGCCTGGGCTAGCAGGGAAGGGGCCTAGAAGCAAACTGGGCCTTCCAGTATCCCAGCCTGTTTCCTCATCCATGAAATGCAGGGTTTGAAAGCAGGCATACCATGCCTTCAAAAGCCCCTCCTACCCCTAGGCACCTGTTTTGGTTTCAACCCACCCTCCACCCTGGGGTTGACACAGGTATTCGGGATACAGAAGCTACAATCTAGGTTGACAGCCAGGGACCCATTACCTCTCAGCCAAAGTGAAGTCCCCATCCTTCAAGGCTGGCACCTTCTTTAGGGGGTTTATCTTGACAAAGGCATCAGTATGGTGTTGGCCTATAGAGAGACCAGAGGGGTCATGGAGGAGGACCTTGAGGCTGTTCAATATCTGCCTGCCCCCTCCCATACATTCAGGCACCGGTTTTTCACCAGAAACTTCAGGGAAGAGGAGGCTAGTGTGCTGGCCAATGAATCACAGATGAGCTCTGTCATAGGTCCATCTGCCCTACGCCCCTCTCTGAGAAGCCTGGATCAAGCAGATTCTCCACTTGGGTGTGGGAAGGAAGGGGATTCTATGGAGCTATCAGCCCACAATCATCTGAATGCAGACACCCCAGTCTCATTCTTGGTTTCTAGTCTTGCCCTTTGATCCATCTTCCTATCCCAGGTGAGAACAGGTTCTTCTGGCCAGGCTTAGTGGATACCCCAGAGTTCCAGCCCTCCCTCTTCTCAGTTCTCAGTTCAACAGGGCTCTTGCCAGGAATGCCTGGTTCAGTCAC